AAGCATGTATCACAACACTTGGTTGGCCAACAATCTAGTTTCATATTATGTTACAAATATTGTTTATATTTCATACATGTGTATCTGCAAACATTAAAATCAAATTATCAACCAGACATGGTAGAGCATGCCTTTAACTACAGATCTTGGGAGGCAGAGAGGCAGGTCTCTGTGAGTTGAAGGCCAGCCTGATCTATCTAGTGAGTTCCAGGCCAGCCAGGGCTACTTAGAGAGACCTTGTCTGGAAAAACAAAAACAAAAGCAAAATGGTGTGTCATGGACAGTGAATGTGAGTGCTGATTTCACCAATACAAGCTGGGAATGATATCCAAAATTCCAAAATCAGAGATCATCAGCCTTTGTGTGTTTGGTATGTGTGCAAGTGCAAACATGTTGTGTTTGTAGAGGCCTGAGGCATCATTTTTCAGGACTGTCCATCTTGATTTTGAAACAGAGTTTTTTCACGAGGAGCTGATTAGGCTAGGCTGGCTGAGCTTTGAGCCCCTTCTGATACTGCCTCCCTAGTGCTGACATAACAGAAGTGTGCCACTATGCCCACTTTTTACATGTGTGCTGAGGTGTGAACTCAGAGCATCATACTTGCACAGCAAGCAATTCACTGACAGACATCTGTCTAGCCCTTAGTGTTTCCTTTTTGATTTTAAAAATGTATATTTTTTTTATGGACATGAATGCTTTTGCCTGCAACAGTGTATGTGTACCACTTTTGTGCCTGGTGACCACAGCAGACAGAAAAGGGGACCAGATCCCCTGGAACTGGAGTTTGTTAGCTGCCATGTGGGCGCTTGGGAACCAATCCCAGGTCTTCTGCAGGAGAAGTAAGTGCTCTTAACCAAGTCAGATTGGCAGTTTTTAAAAAATATTTATTTTTACATGAATCTGCCTGCATGAACATCCATAGATCACTGCAGTGCCTGCAGAGGCCAGAAGAGAGTATTGGGTCCCGTGGAACTGGAGATTAGAGACAGTTGTTAGCTGCCACCGGAGTGCTGGGAATTGACCCCAGGTTCTCTTGAAAAGGAGTGAGTGCTCTTACTGAGCCATCTCTCCAGCTCCCACACAGCAGGCTTTTGAGACAAGTGCTTTCCCTACTATGTCATCTTGCTGGCCCTGGCCTTGGTCTTTAAAACCTTTCTTTTTCTCTTTTTCTTTGTATGTTTACACCTGCAGATGTATGTGTATTGGTGCATAGGTTGAGATCAGAGGATAATTTTGGGAAGTTGGTGCTCTTGTTTCATATGTAGATTCTGGGGACTGAATTGAAATTATTTGCTTAGCTATCTGAACAGCCCTGGCTTTGAATTTTTGATCCCCTTGTCTCAGTCTCTACAGGGCTATGATTACAGGGGTGCACAACCATACCTATAGTGATTGCCGTTATTTTTTTGTGGGAGTAAAGGTCAACATAATGTAAAGGTAGCCAGGTGGTGGTAGCGCATGCCTTTAATTCCAGCACTAGGGAGGCAGAGTCAGGTCGATCTCTGAGTTTGAGGCCAGCCTGGTCTACAAAGTGAGTTCCAGGTGAGCCAGAGCTGTTACACAGAGAAATCCTGTCTTGAAAAACTAGCCAAATAAACAAAAACCCAAAAACCATAAAACCAGTCAGGTGGTGGTGGCAGGAGCCTTTAATCTTAGCATTCCACTTGGGAGGCAGAGACAGGCAAGTCTCTGAGTTTGAGGCCAGCCTGGTCTATAGATCGAGTTCCAGGATGGCCAAGGCCACACAGAAAAACCCTGTGTCATAAATAAACATACATATAAACAAACATAAAATACCATAAAACTAAATAAAACCAATCATCTGTTCACACACACATATGTATATATATACATATATATATACATATAAATAATTTATTTTTCCCAGTCAGAGTTTCTTTGTGCAGTTTTGTAGATCAGGCTGGCCTCAAACTCACAGAGGTTCTCTGCTGTGAGCCACCACCGTCAGCTAGTTTTAATTTTTATTTTCTTGCTAGGGGTTTAGCAGAGAGTGTAGCTGTATGTTTTTAATTCAGTCCTTCCCAGGACACCAGCCGCTTCTCTGAATAAGTCCTTAGTTTGAGCTACCTTACAAAAGCCAGAATTGAGGAAAAGCCAGCTGAGGTTGGCTGAAATGGAGAGACAAGGGTGTTAGTGGAGGGCCTTGTTGACTTAAAGATTTGAGCTCTTGAGCTCGGGATGTAGCTCAGGTGACAGAGTGCGTGTCTAGCTTACATGCAGCCAATCCCAACACGGGAGGTGGAGGTAGGAGCATCAGAAATTCAAGGTCGTCCTGGGCCGGCTGAGCTACATGACACTGAGGGGGGAAGGCAGACACAGTTGGTCTAGAATTTTCTCCTGAGTGTAATTTTCCTCTTGGGGGATGGAGGAGGATGTTGGAGATCAAGCAGGATGGACCACTGAACCACAAGTGTTGCATAGGATCTGTAAAGTAAGGACATGGGCAGGGGGATGACTGTGCACACAAACCAGCAGTCTCAGGCTAGCCTTGAGTGGACCAGCATTGCCAGAGGGGATGAATCAGAACGATCCATTTTTAGTTTACATGGTAGAGGGTGGTGGCTTTGCATGGTTGCAAGGCAGATAGGGAATTTTGGGAGAGCACATGACTGATAGGATTTGACTAACTGATGTCAGCGGGAGAATCTGGTGTCCTACACGACTCTTTTTCCGACTCAGGCTCCTGGATGCTAATGGAAGTATGTCCTGTCAATGGTAACTCTGGGAATGCTGCCATTTTGTTCTCAGACAGCACCTCAAAGTGCCAAGGCTGGACTTGAACTTGCTATTTAGTCTCCTCCTGCTGGGATTATGGAGACGATTAACGGAAGGATTAGGTGTTCAGTTTCTTTCTTTTGAAACCTCAGAGTATTCAAAGGGTCTTAAAAATATGGGGCCTGGAGAGATGCTCAGCAGTTAAAGGTGCTTACTGCTGCTCTTGTAGAGGACCGAGGTTTGGTTCCTAGCACCCAAGTCCAGAAGTTCGCGACTGCTTGTCACTCTAGCTCCAGTGGGATCCAGTGCCTCTGTGTGCACCTGCACTCACAAGTACACACTCATATGACATGCCTACAAACACATACAGACAATTAAGCCCGCACAAAAGTGCAGAGGAAAAAAGGTCTAAGACACGGAAGGAATTTAGGTCAGATGGAAAGGTCTCCTTCTGAGAGTTCTTCACATTGCCTAGGGATTGGCTCTTTTTTTGGGGGGGAGGGGTTTCCGAGGCAGGGTTTCTATGTGGCTTTGGAGGCTGTCCTCGAACTAGCTCTTGTAGAACAGTCGGGTCTCGAACTCACAAGAGATCCACCTGCCTCTGCCTCCCTAGTGCTGGGACTAAAGGCGTGTGCCATCCATAGGCTTTTAAAATCACCTCTATTAAGATTTTGGTTGCTTGTCATTGATACCATTATCCAGACCTTTGAGATACAAAGTAAAATCTCGTTGTAGTAATCAAATCCTACAGCAAGAATGTTTGATAGTAAGGGATTTAGGCAGTGGAAATCCAGAGCCTTATTAAACAGGTTTTGGTTAGATACTACTTCAGAAATATTCCCTACTTGGTCCATTTGTCAAAGCACCAGTTTATGTGCCTAGGCACTTCGAAGAGTGTTCCTCTAACTTTCTTTGGACTGTGGGCTTGCTATCACAGCATAAAGCTCATTTGGGGGGAACCAGTAGCTTTCTAAAAATAAGCTTTTATTTATTTTTGTCAAAAGGATAATGCTATTTTCATTTCGGTTGCTCTGGCTAAAATTAGTATCCATATCGTCTGAGATACAAGCGCCTTTGTCTTGTCTTTCTTGTACCTCGTAAACGGTTACAAAGGAAATGTCACTCCACATAACATTTAGTTGCCAAGATGTTTGAAAAGAAACACGGACATTTCCTTCACAGTTGTCCTAATCACGAAGCTTTGTGCTGCTTCAAGTTGATCAAAGTGTGCCAGGAGGAGCACTCAACTGCTTAAAAGGCCAGGGACAGAAACGGAATATTGCACAACCCAACACCACCGGGCCGGTTAAGCTTCCAAATCTGGCCTCGGTGTCATCCCCAGGCGGGAGGCACTGGGATTTCCTCGCGAACCCGCCGCGCGGCGCCCCTCCCTCCGCCCAGGGGATTCGTGGGAGCGGAGGACGGCGCGCGCCGGGCCGCGGGATGCCCCATTGTCCAGCGGCGGAAGCCGGGGCTCCCCGGGGTGACTCCCGAACTCGAGCCCCGCCACCCGGTCGCCCCGAGCTCCGCCATCCCCGTGCGGCTCCCCTCCCCCGCAGCCCCATTGTCTGCCTCGCCTCGCCCCGCCCCGGGGGACACGTGCGCCTGCAGCTTCCCGAGCGCCCAGGGCGCGGTGCGGCGGCAGAGCGGGCGACTAGTACCGGGAGCCCTCGGAGCCCTCGGAGCCCGGGCCGGCGGTGGGGCGGTGGGGGCGGGGAGGGCGGGGTGGGGACATGCTTGTCTCCTGACAAAGAACGAGTGGGACACGCCGAGCAGGCCGCCCCGCCCGCGGAGCACGAGGGAGTGTCCGCGCAGAGGGCGGGGTCTCTCATTCACTTGGCCCCACACCGCCGCCGCGGCGGAAGGGCGGGGTCTCAGCCCCCCCTTCCCAGCCGGGAGCTGGGGGCGGGGCGAGGGGCGGGGCCCACGGGCGCGCGTCCCGAGGCGTCGGCTGCGTCGTCACGTCAGCGCGGGAGAGAGAAAGAGCGACTCGGCAGGGACTGGGGACGGGCCGAGAGAGCTAGCGAGGGAGGGCGTGTGCCGGAGTGCCAGCGAGGAGGAGAAGGGCGGCCACTCGTGTCTGAGCGGCCGCGGACGGGAGTGGGGACGCTGGGGGAGGAGGTGCAGGCAGGGAAAGGAGGAAGGCCGAGAGGACAGGGCGGCCGGCGGCCGTGGCTGGGGGAGAAGGAGGAGCTGTAGGAGGGCAGGGGCTGAGGGAGTGAGTGAGAGAAGCGGACGCGCCAGGGAGGGGAGGGAAAGGGGGGTCACGCGGGGGCGCGCGCGCGCACTGGGAGCGCGCTCGGAGGCGAGTGGAACTGGATCGGGTTTGCTGCCAGCGGCGTGAGCTTCGGCCGCCATTTTACAACAGCTCCACTCGCGCCGGACACAGGGAGCAGCGAGCACGCGTTCCCCGCCACCCGACCCGGTCGGACAGGATTCCTCGGCCGCAGCCCCGCGGGAGGTAACGACCGCCGGCACCCGGCTCTGGGAGGGGAGCTCCATGACATTGTGGAGGGAGCTTGGGGGAGGGCGGCGCGGGGAGAAACCGGCTTTTCTGGAAAATGGATTCCAAGGGGGAGAGAGGAGCACGTTGGCCGGGGCTGCCAGGGAGTAGGCCGCGGCGCCGCCGCCACTTCTTCCTCTCCATGTGCTGCCGCGGCTGGGCTTTGTCTGCGGCGCTCCGGGAGGAGGCGCCTCGGCAGCCCCGTGGCCCGCGCGGACCGCGAGCGGCGGGCGGACTTGGTGCTGTCGTGGCCGGCGGCGCGGGAGTGGGCGGAGAGGCGCGGGTGCTGTCCCGCGGCCGGCCGTCGGGCTTGGGCGGTGCTCGGCTCCCGCGGGCGTGCGCCTGGCGGCGGAACGCCCTCCCGGCGCGGGCTGTCGGCCTCGGCGCCGCAGCCACTGCACCGAGGGGTGCGGGAGGCCGGGGTCGCGGGCGACTGGGGAGCGCCCGGGGCGGAGAGCCATGTGTCAAGGCGGAGACGGCGGCGCTGGGGGGCGGGGAGAGCCCGTGGCCTGGCGCCGCCGCGGCCTCGGTGTTGAGGGGCGAGATTGTGCGGCTGCACCGTTCGGGGGGCTCGGACCGCGACTGCGGGTTGATGTTGGGAGGCGGTGACGACCGCCCTGGCCCGCTACTCGGTGGGTTTCCGTTGAAGGAAGTTGTAGGACATTTGAAGGCGCAGAGCACGTGTTTCTAATGGGCTCCTGGCGGCCGCAGTGGTGAAGCTGCCGCTCCGGGTGCGGAGTCGGGGGCGGGCTTTGGGGTGTGGGGGTGAAGGGTGGAGGAATTGGGTGGTGGGAAGGTGGCTTGTGTGAGCGCTTTGTTCTTCGCTGGCTGTTACTGATCTATAAGCGGCAGGCGGGAAAAGCGCACTTTCTGGTTTACCTTGGAGAGAGACAAGCCCAGCGTTGCTTTCTTCACACACACCTTATTCTCCGTTTTGGAACTGCTGCATGTGGCAGGCTCGGCCGGTCCCTGTGCTGATTGGGCTTCATTTGTAATAAGGTTTTTCCTAGCGAGTGTTAGCAGGTGAAGTCAGGGGTGGTGCTCAGGAAAGAATGTAGTGAATCGGTCCGTCTGTACCCCGGGCTCCAAATCTTGCTTGTCAGGCGATGGTGACTGTAAGGTTTCTTTCGAGGGAGGCGCAAGCTGGCTGGTTGTAGTTACTGGTAGAAAGTAAAGATTGGGACTGTCATTGTCCACTGTTCTTTTTGAAGATCCTAGTTTAATTTTGCTTATTGCGTTTGAACAGATCTCTGGAAACATGGCTACAGAACATGTTAATGGAAATGGTACTGAAGAGCCCATGGATACTACTTCTGCAGTTATCCATTCAGAAAATTTTCAGACATTGCTTGATGCTGGTTTACCACAGAAAGTTGCTGAAAAACTAGATGAAATTTACGTTGCAGGTAAGAACTAACACTTGCAAAATTACATTATGAAATTTTTCTATTGGATTTCTGGCTTTGAGCTAAAATAGCAACTTTTTGTGGTTTCCAATAAAGGTGGGAACTGGAGCTTTGCCTTGTTCTGATAGTTGGTTAACTTAGGTTTGATCTAGAGTTTAGAGTGAAGAGGGAGGGATGAAGTGGGAAAAAGACCTCCCTAGGGGAAGGCTGTCTGGCCTGATGGATAAGTATATGACAGTAGCACCAGCTGTTGAAGGTTGAGAGCAGCCATGTGACTTTTTGGGGTATTTTTAAAGCAGGGTTCTTGTTTAATAACGGTTACTGTAGGCTAGTTTTCTTGTCTTTCTTGGTGTGGTGGTTCCTTTTCTAGTGGCATTTGACATTGGTAGCCATGCAGTTGTTATGCTTGGTGTTTTGTTGGTTGACAGGATTTGTAGGCCTCTATATTTATTGTAGAAATATTTCAGTGTTCAGGATTACTTGGACATATAATGGGATGTAAAATATGTTGACTACTTTCTGCGTAGTTGAGAGGACTTACTTCAGAATGGCTAAAGTATATTCTTCATTATGTAGGTTAGGGGAATAGAATCGCCACGTGTGTGTACCTGTATTGGCCAATGCAGGGCTTTCTGAAGAAGTAATTTGGAAATTTTAAAAGGTGATAACTAACTTAAGTTTTCTCTTTCCAGGGCTAGTTGCACATAGTGATTTAGATGAAAGAGCTATCGAAGCTTTAAAAGAGTTCAATGAAGACGGCGCATTGGCAGTACTTCAACAGTTTAAAGACAGTGATCTCTCTCATGTGCAGGTAATGTTAATTTAATTTCAGTGTAGAAAGGAAAAATGAGTACTTTTGGTCTGCTCATTTAAATTTAATTAGACACAGACATAATAGTAATGTTAATATGAATGGAAAATTTCTTTACAGAACAAAAGTGCCTTTTTATGTGGAGTCATGAAGACTTACAGGCAGAGAGAGAAGCAAGGGACCAAAGTAGCGGACTCCAGTAAAGGACCAGATGAGTCGAAGATTAAGGTATGTGCTTGAGAACTTTCTGTAGCTTTAAGGTTTGTGGGTGTGTGTGTGTGTGTGTTTTGTTTTGGAGATAGGTTTCTCTGTGCAGCTTTGGAGGCTCTTAAGACCAGACTGGCCTCTAACTCACAGAGATCCACCTGCCTCTGCCTCCGGAGTGCTGGGAGTAAAGGTGTGCACCACCACTGCCCAGCTATGTTAGTTTTTTAAGTTGGTGCTTTTTAATATTGTTCAACTGTTCTTGAGGTAACGGTTATGATTTAAGAAAACCAGTTGCTAAGAAGGGCATAAATGTGTGGTATTTTACCCCTATTGGAAAAGGAGACCTAGATCATGGACATGATTGGAATATGAAGTTAATGTTGTTATTAGAAACCATGAGTCTTCACATGTCTAGGTATTGAGTGGATTGAGTTTGAACTATCATTTAGATTTCCATTAAAAATGAGCTTTAGTTGTTTCCATTGCAATTATGCCAGTGCGATGGTTAATTTACTTTCTGAAAATCTGGAAGGAGGTGTGTTGAATGAACTTTAATGGGACCTAAAAAGTTACATTTTTATAAAGATGCTTGATGGAGGTGGATAAATTATTTTTCCCTCTTTTTTTTTTTTTTTTTTTTTTTTTTTTGGTTTTCGAGACAGGGTTTCTCTGTAGCTTTGGAGGCTGTCCTGGAACTCACTTTGTAGACCAGGCTGGCCTCGAACTCACAGAGATCCGCCTGCCTCTGCCTCCCGAGTGCTGGGATTAAAGGCGTGCGCCACCAACGCCCGGCTATTTTTCCCTCTATTGACAGTGTTAATTGGGACATAAATATTTTTATAAAACCTTTTGTTTTTGTAGCATGGATTTATAAGGAAAAGGAAAGGTGACCTATTTGGTGTAATTAATATTCATACATAGCCTTAAACTTTTAAGGAGTAAAATTTGAGTGTAATGAAAAAGGTACCTAAGCAGTTTTAGAAACTTTGTTAAAAAGTTCAAGATTACTAGACAGGGTTTTCTCTGTGACTTAGGAGGCTGTCCTGGAACTAGCTCTTGTAGATCAGGCTGGTGTCGAACTCACAGAGATCTACCTGCCTCTGCCTCCTGAGTGTTGGGACTAAAGGCGTGCACCACCACTGCCTGGCTAGAGTTAGTTTTTCTAATACTAACACTTTTCACTAGGCCACACAGAGGCAGCTTCTACTGTGCCATTTGGCCAGAATCCTTCCCCATTTCTTAGATAAGATCCTATAGTGTAGCCCAGGCTGATCTTGAATTCCTGATTGCCCTATGTCTCAGTCAAGGATTAGTGGTGTGTTTCATTACATCTGCTCTTTTGTTTTCTTTTCTTTTTCTTTGTTTTGTGTTATTTTGATATATTGACTCTTAGCTCCTCATAAACATATGCCATACTGCTTTAATTATGGTAGATAATACTTAAATATCTAGTATTATGGTGATATGTGTTGCTTTATGTGAAGAGGTCAAAACCTTTTAACATACTTATATAATATTAATGCTGTGTAGTCAGTAAGGCACATGATATTTCCATTTTTAACAAATGCAAAAAGGGACACAGAAGAGGCAAGAGATTTATTTCCCCAAGAAATTAGCAGTGAAGCAGAGTCTTCAAGTTCCTCCAGAAGTAGTCTCAAAACTGTGTTTTAAAAGAATTTGTCATTCATTCATGTAAAGTTGTGACTTCAATAGGTTTGCCTTGGTAAATCTATGGCATATCTATGCAGAAGGCTAGTACACTGAACAGACACTTCCTAGGAAGAAAAAAAATCCATGAAATGAGATTTAAAGATGTGTAGTTGAACTGGAACTGGCCGAATTTGATCTTGGCAAATGATAGTTATTCATTTATTTAGAAGCGTGACACATAGAAGCAAAGAAATATTTTACTCAGGCCCCTCTGTTTCTCCTTTCTATGCTTGTTAAACCTTTTGTTATTATATTAATATGATATTTAGAGCTAGGTGGAAATTGCAGTTGGTATTGCATATATGATGGAATCCTTAGATTTTTAAAATACAAGATTCTACTGTAACTTACATTAAAAAATCACATTGGTTAATGATTTTAGGGCAGAAGTGTGTTACCTTTCAGAGTTTGGATTTGTGAGATAGGATCTCACTATGTGGCCCAGGCTGGCTTGAAACTTCCTGTGTAGCTCAGGCTAGCCTGTGACTCATGATCCTCTTGCTCCAACATCTAGAGTCCTGAAATTATATGACAGCTCCACACTTTTTATAAAATAAAATGCAGAAGGAAGCATATTTCCTCTCTGTGTAGAAATTCAGTGGTCATAGTTACTCAGTTACAGCACAAATAGTTACTTGATGGTGTTCTACACTGTTTCTCCTGCTCTAGCTGGCAGCTTTTCTTTCTATTAAAATCCCCAAGAGGTGGCTCGTGAAATTTGTCTCAGTAGGTAAAAGCACTTGCTGTACAAGCTGGACAACCCGAGTTCAGTCACCAGAACAACCATAGAGGTGGAAAGGGAGAACTGACTCCACAAAGCTGACCTCTGACCTCCATACACGTTCCATGGAGTTTGTGTGTGTGTGTGTGTGTCTGGACATATGCATATACTGAGCACGCTCATGTGTGCATACACAAACACACACACACATTCTCACAATAATCATGAAGTGAAAGAATTAAATTTCTCAAGGTGTTCTCAAAAACTTCATATCTTGATTGAACACGTAAAAGCAGAGAAGGCAACATTTCAAGAATCTCAGTCACGGTTATTGGAAACAAGTCTTTTCAGCACAAATTTTCTTTCTCATTTCCATTCAGACAATGACTAGACTTACTGTTAGTACTGACCCTGGTCTAGCTGCTGGCACAGTCTTTCTACCTTCTCCCTTAACTAATGGACTTAACCATAAGAACTCACACTAGCGGTGAGATATTTGATTGTACTGTGTAAAGATGTGTGACTGTGATTGATTTAATAAAAAGCTGAACATTCAATAGATAGTCAGGGAGAATAGACAGGACTTCTGGGCAAAGGAAAGAATTGGGGATAAATCTAGGCACACAGAGGAGACACCAAGCGATACAGAACAAGTCACAGGTACAGAATGAAAGAAAGGCAAAAAGTCACCTGGTAGAATGTAGGTTTAAAAATGGGTCAATTGCTGAGAGGTGGTGGCACCCACTTATACTCCAGCACTTGGGAGGCAGAGGCAGGCAGATGTCTGTGATTTCTATACCAGCCGGGTCTACAAGAGATAGTTCCAGGACAGCCTCCAAAGCCACAGAGAAACCCTGTCTATAATTAGCAAGAAGTCTCAGTGTCATTTTTTGGGATCTGGCTGGCAGATCAGAGACAGACTGGCTTTCATACTGGAGACTGGAAGGAGGAGCATGAGGACATGTTATTGACTCAGTGTTCTGTGTCTTCTTCACTGGCTCTCACTGCTTCTTTTCAACTCTCCCAATCATCTGTTTAGGACAGAAAGTTATGGCCATCCCACATGCATGGAGTACATTTTTTTTGAGACAGTCTCATACATTTCAAGCTAGCCTTGAGCTATCTAGCTGAGACTGAACGTGAACTTTTGATCGATCGCTTTATTCCACTGGGATCGGAGACCTCAGCAGATGACCATCTACACTGAAGTTGATAGAGCGTGGCATGTCTAAGGAATGCCATGGGATGCCATAGGATGCACATGGGAAGGGGTCAGAAGAACAGGCTTCCGAATAGTCTTGTTGGCTTGTCCAGCCACTTCCCTTATCTGTCCCCATCTACATAATAGACACTATTCTCCCCTTCCATCCCCTTTTACCTCAGATCTCTTTAACTAGACTTTTTCTTACCCATGACATTACTGGAAGGCTTCTTCCAGCTGACACAATTCATGCCTTGACTATATGTAATGCTTTTTGGGGGGAAGAAGGGGAATCTATTTCTGGAAACACCAGGGACACAAATGCAGTAATGTTTAGGGCCAGCATGTTAAAAACCTCTAATCCCAGATCCTCTTCATCCTGCAACTGGTGTCTATCGGGGTGAAGGATAGTAATGGACAGGATGAAAAGAGGCCTTTACCAATACTGAGCACTGTGGATCAGACCCACCTTACGGTGAAACCAGTGTTCCCTACAATCCAAGTCACACTGCATACCAGTGTCAGAGAGAAGCTTGATTGGGTCTTCTCCTTTTAATTAACAACTAAGGGTTCTTTTCTCTTATGCCTGTGAGTGTTTGCTTGCATGCATGTGTGTGCACCACATGTGTGCCTGGTGCTGAGGAGGTCAGAAGGCATTGGAGTGACAGAAAGTTGTGACCCACCATGTGGGTGCTGGGAACCAAATGTGGGTCTTCTGAATGAGAAGTGCTGTTAACCATGGAGCCAACTATTTAGCCCTCCTTTTCATTTTTTAAATAGCCCTGGCTGTCCTGGAACTAGCTCTGTAGACCAGGCTGGTCTTGAACTCAGAGCACCACCTGCCTCTGCCTTTAGAGTGCTGGAATTAAAGTCGTGTGCCACCACCACCCAGCTCATTTCTTTTTCATCTAAAAGATATTTTTTATTATGTATACAGTGTTCCTCCTGCATGTATACCTGCAGGCCAGAAGAGGGCACCAGATCTCATTACAGATGGTTGTGAACCACCACATGGTTGCTGGGAATTGAACTCAGGACCTCTGGAAGAGCAGTCAGTGCTCTTAACTGCTGAGCCATCTCTTCAGTTGAAAACTTTCATTTTATATTTTAGTAGCATATATTAATTATATACATCATAATTATGATATTTTCATACATGTATACATTTTTGAAAATGCTCATTCTGTTGCTCTCTGTCTTTGGGCCCAGTATTCCCTTACTTTTTCTTTTTCTTTTTCTTTTTTGGCTTTTTGAGACAGGGTTTCTCTATGTAATATTCCAGGTTGTCCTGGAACTTGCTTGGTAGACCAGGCTGGCCTTGAACTCAGAGATCCACCTGCCTCTGTTTCCCAAGTGCTAGGATTAAAGTTGTGTGCCACCACTGCCCAACTGGACTCAGTAATTTTCTTTTTCTTCGCTTTGACAGCTTCAGGCTCTACCAACTACCTAAACTGTGCATGTGCACCGAGTGTCTCTGAGGAGTCAGACCTTGCCCTGAGCCTATTTGCAGAACGGGGTGAAGGCATCCATGGCTCTCAACCTGAGGTCACACATTGTACCAGATCTCTCTCGGGTCCTCTGACTGTCTCACCAGGTCCAGGGAGAATAAGTACCAGAGTGATATATCAGGGTGAGAAGGACTGAGTCTCTAGAAAGGAGGAAAATTACATTTCCCACATTTATGTTTGTTCCAGTTTGGTTTTTGGTGAATAACAAACCACAGCCCAAAAGCAAATAGGGGTTCTTACAGGTTCCAATCCAAATGAAAGGAAGACAGGGCTGGAACTCAAGACAGAAACCAGGAGGCTGGGCCTGAAGCAGCGACCACAGAGGACCGCTGCTTGTTCGCTTACTCCCAGGCTCACATTCAGCTACTTTCTTTGCATAGCTCCAGTCCTTCTGTCCAGGGACAGCATCCCTCACAGTGGACAACTTGATAGATTATATAGGCATGAGAAAGCCAAACCAGAATTAAAATCCAGAACTATTCTGACTCCAAAATAAACAGATAAATACTACTCACACTTTTTTTAATTCACACAGATGAATACAACCATCTGACAGATCTGTTTATCACAACAAATAAATTGATGGTCAATTTCATCACTGCTTCTGGAATTTGAGATTCTTTGTGTTTCTGGGCTGGGTGGGCCTATCTAGAAATCTAACTATCAACAGGCCTTCATAGGGTGCCAGCTTGTGGTATTCAGTGGAACTATAGCGAAGCAGTCAGAGCAAGAGTCATAGGGAAAAGTCCTGTAGGGCTAGAGCTAAGGAAAGGTATTTTAGGTATTGGCTGAGAGTCACTAAAATATTTGTGACCTTGAAGTCTTGAAGGAAGTTGGAAAGAAAACATGGAGATGGGGTAGAGCAACTTGTACTGTGTAGCTATATCCTCCAGAATGCAACATGCCTGCCTGGACAGGAGATTCACAAGACTCTGGAAGTAAATGAAACTCACAAGGCTCAGGAAACTCCTGAAAACTTATAAGAGTCACTGAGTGTCCATGAAGGTTATATAAACAGTAATGGTTGCCAGAAGAGACTTGAACAAGCCAAGATGCCTGCAAGATGAACAGAGAGTTCCAGGAATAGTTTTTTTTTTTGAGTTGTCACTCATGCTGAGATATTTTTTTCTGGTGATAGAGCTTGCTTCTGAATTACCTACACTCCTCTTAATAACCCCTCATCTGTGCTCCTATAAATAACCCCAGTAATCTCAATCATTCACTAAACTAAACTTGGGTAGAATTGTGTTTCTGCTCCATCACTGTTACCTTCTCAAGGGTGAAAAGATGCTTTTTCTATGACTACTTTGGTGGTCATACAACAACCATACATGAGGAGTGTAACAACCCCTGATGTTGTCTTCAAACTTCTAGAAGTAGAACCTAAACAAGACTGAGAAGATAGGCACCCAAAAAAATAGAAATGAAATAAACCCCACAAGTATAGTACATAAGTAGAATATATATTTCCAAGGGTGTAAAACGTCCTAAAGATAACCAGCTACAGAGCTTTGAGGAAGTTCTTAATTTGTGTAGTTATTTCCTACATATAATTGACATTTGAGTGAGTTGCTATTTGAAGGTTTGAGCTGGCAGGTTTCTTTGCTGGTGTACTCTTCCATAACCCATGATCTCCCAAAGAGGGTAAACTGCTCCAAATGTGTGAAACAATCTAAGGTGCCAAAATAGAGCTCAGAATGCAGGTGGGTATATTGGGAAAATTACTAGGCATCAGTCACATGGTCAGCTTGAGAGAGCCAACCCAGGAGCTAAGAGTGTAGCTTCATGGCAGAACATTTACCTACTATTAAGAGGTCTTGGGTTCAGTCTTCAGCACTGCAAATAATTACAGTAAGCAAAAAATCATCTGATGGGTAATTTAAAGCAGTTTGGAGTGTGGTATGTTTTTTTTTTCTGTTTTGGTGGTTTTAGAAAGGATCTCACTATTTAGCTCTGACTGGACTAAAACTCTGTGTAGACTGGGCTAGCCTCTACCCCACAGAGATTTATATTAAAGGAGTCTACAATATACCCAGTGAGACACCATTGTAGTAAAGTGATTTTTTCCATTACCAGTAGGTTTTGATTGCGAATAGCTTCTTGGTTAGGAGTCTCTCGGAATTGGGATCCTGTCTGGCTTGCACCTCTGAAGGCCCTATGTGTACTGCCACAGGCTTTGTGAGTTCATATGAGCATCAGTCATGTTGCATGTGGGGCACAATGTTTCCTTGGAGTCATTCATCACCTCTGGCTCTGGAAATGTTTCTCTGATTTCTGCATAGGTCCCTGACCCATGAAGGGCAAGTTAGAGGAAGACGTATTATTTAGGACTTGAGTGTTCCAAAATCCCTCTCTCTGCACATTGTCCAGTTGTGAGTCTCTGTGTTCGTTTCTAGATAATTCAAGAGTAAGTGTCTCTGATGGCTGACCAAGGCTGATCTATGAGTACAGCAGAATGCCACTAAGACTCATTCTAGTGTTATGTTCCTTTGACATAAGAATAATATTTTGTTTTCCCCTATGGCCATGGTCTCTCCAGTCTCAGGTTCTTGATCACCCTCCCTAGCAGTATCAGGAATGAATTGCATCCCATGGGGTGGGCCTTAAATCTATCAGAATAGTTAGTTATGTCTGCAATGTTTGTGCTACTACTGCACCTCCATATCTCACAGGAATATTATCATTATAGATTTCAGGATTTATAACTGGGTTGATAATTAGCTTGCAGTATTATGAATGCTATATTTAAAGGTGAAGCTTCTACTTGGACAGCCCAGAGCCAGGACTCCCAAATACCACCAAGCGACCAGATCCAATGAAAAAGCAGAGTCTTATTTTGTTATTGTAGCATGCTGGGTCTGGCTATCCCAAACAAAGACAAGATGGCTCTAACCCCAAGAAGGAGGTGGGAGCTTCTTTTAAGCCTTACTAAAGGGAGTGTCTAAGGAAGTTGGGTTACTTTAGATATGATTGGCTTAAGCAACTGGCAATCATATTACTACATTCTAATTGGCTGGGGCTAGTCAGGGATTGGTCAGGGATACAGTTTTCTATATTTGGGCAGGTCTGTCCAGGCTCTGTTCTTGAGCTGCTGCTGTGGAGGCTGACATAGGCCTGACCCCGCCTAGTACTGCATATACCAGTATAGGCCAGGTCCTCCTTTCTGTTGGGGTTTTGGAGATTGATCGTCCTTTATTCATGGCTTTTCCTCAGAAACTGTTTGTTCAGTCTCAGGAAACTGAAACTGAGGCCTGATCTCAGAGATAAAACTAGGCAGCCTGTTATGGCATCTGCTTGGTCCTTTCATCTGGACTTCTGCATGTTCAGTGAGATTCATGAATGTTGCTGTCAAAAGCGGAGCCTTACTATCAATTTGTAGAGAACAAATCCAAAACCTGGCAATACCTGAGGACTCTGAGGATTTCTATTGGACTCCTTTGGTCACTGACTCCACTGAATACAACCCATTCACAGCCTGGAGATTTCAGTTGATGAACAATGTGTACTTGAGGTATTGTCCCTCCCATGATTTGGTGACTCCATTTATATTTCTCTTATATAAGTAATATTTTAAGAAGCTTATACACTATTAGGTTTTCGTAATCCCCTCAAATATTCATTAATTCTAGTTGTTCTCTCTTGCATTCTTTCCTTTACCACCCTTTCCTATTTAATCCCCCCACTTTAGTCTCCCTCCTGTTTCTCCATTATAATATATTTCTCCTTTCTTGAGATAGTCTCTGTTCCCCTGAGTCCCTTACTAGGTACCCACCTCTGGTCATATGGATTGTAGTTTACACATCTACAGCTTAAAAACTAACATGTACATGTAAGAAAAAAATACAATATTTGTCTTTGGGGTCTGGATTAACTCACTCTGGATGAATTTTTTAAGCTCCATTCATTTAGCTGCAAATTTTATAATTTTGTGTTTTTTAAGATGAATAAAATTCCATTGTACATTTACACAATGGAGTACTGTTCAGTGGAAAAGAAACAACAATGGATTCGTGAAATTTGCAGGCAAATGGATGACACAAGAAGAAACCATCCTGAGTGAGGTAACACAGTCACAAAAAGACAAACATGGTATGTACTCACTCATATATGTATTTTAGATATGGATCAGGGGAGTGCCAGCCCACAATCCCACTGCCAGAGGGTCTAGGAAACAGGAAGGACCCTAAGAGAGATATGCCAGGTACCCCAGAGAAGGAGAATGAGGCAAGATCTCCTGAGTGGATTTGGAGCATGGAGAGAGTGGAGGAGGGGGGAGAGAGGGGGAAAAGAGTAGGGGAGAGGAGGGCATGGGGGAGCAGGAAGGTTGAATCAGAAGAAGAAAGGAGAGCAGGATGAGAGATACCATAATAGAAGTAGTCATCATAGACTTGAGGAGAGTTCTGGCACTAGTGAGATTTCCAGAGATCTACAAGGATGACACCAACTGGCAAACTAAGAAATAGTGGAGAGACTACCTTAAGTGCCCCTCCCTGATTATGAGTTTGATGACTACCTTATGTGCCATCCTAGAACCTTCATCCAGTGACTGATGGAAGCAGAGGCAGAGACCCACAGCTAAACACTGAACTGAACTTCTGGAACCCAGTGACAGAGAGAAAGGAGTGATGAGCAAAGTGGTAAAGACTGGGCTGGTTTAACCCCCAGAAACACCTGACCTGAACAAGGGGTATCTCTTGAATCCCAGACTGATGGCTGAGAATCCAGCATGGGACTGATCCAGACCCCCTGAATGTGGGTGTCAGTGAGGAGACCTAGGCAATCAATGGGGCCTTGGGTAATAGATCAGTATTTATCCCTGGCATACAAATGGACTTTGGTTACCAATCCCACAATGAAGGATGCTCTCTCAGCCTGGACTCTAGGAAGAGGGCCTAGGCCCTGCCCTGAGTTAAATGACAGACAATGGAGATCCCCCGTGGAGGGATTCACCCTTCCTGGGGAATGGAGTGGAGATTGGGTGGGTACTGGTGTTGCTGGTGGGGACCCGGGGAAGAGGGGAGGGAGAGGGACCTGGGATTGACATGAGAAGCAAACGCGTCTCTAATTTAAATAAATAAAAATTCCATTGTGAAGCTAACTACAACCATAAAAACATAGGCATTAGCGAGCCACTCTCTACCAACAGCTAAAAGAAAAAAGGGGTGAAATTCCACACATAATTCCACCAACAACAACCATTGCAAATCGAAGAAGGATGAGCAATCAATGGTCATTAATATCCCTCAACATTAATGGCCTTAACTCACCCTTAAAAAGACACAGGCTAGCAGAATGGATTTGAAGACAGAACCCTTCCTTCTGCTGCATACAAGAAACACACCTCACCCTCAAAGACAGACAGTACCTGAGAGTTAAAGGTTGGGAAAAAATTTTTCAATCAAATGGACCCAAGAAACAAGCAGGGGTAGCAATCCTAATATCTAACAAACTGGACTTTAAAATAAAATCAATCAAAAGAGATGAAGGAGGTCATTACATACTCATCACAGGTGAAACCCACCAAGATGAAGTGTCTATCCTGAACATCTATGCCCCAAATACAAAGGCATCCACATTCGTAAAAGAAACATTATT